CAGAAGCCGGGTTTGACTGACGTCCAGGCGGAACTGGACCGATTGACTCGAAACCCCGACTCAATGTTAACGGCCAACAACACCCCAGCGACAGAGAATGAGGCATGAGCGCGTCAACAGCATTGTCCACTCTGGAAATCAACATGTAATGACATAAAGGAGAAAAAAAAATGCTATTCATGACCAAAATTCCCCCCACCTTGTGTGTCTATCAGCAAACAGACCGAAAGTGTTGGGATTCTATCAGATGTATAGGCTCTGATGTTGTGGGGGAAAGAGAGGTAGATATTTGAAAAGATGCAACTGCTTTTCTTTGTTTTCATTTCCAGACCCCTTTCTATGTTTGTTAGTTTATTTGTGGTGATTCATTTGGTGTGGCATGGCAGGTCAGGTAATGGGTGCTCTCTCCTTAAGGAGGCAGTCAAATCTCTAAAGTGTGGGGCCTTGCTTAGCTTGGGACACCTTTAACCGCACCCGTTCCCCTCCTCCTGACGAGCAGATGCGCACTGCTGCATTCAACGAGCAGTCGCTTCCAGTGTTGAAATCTGCTACAACTACTGCTAACAGCCTAAACATATTCATCGAAAACAAGCACCTGCAAAAAGTATATAGTGTGTACAAACATAATTGCATTTATGCTGATGTATTTATAAAGAAGCAAGCAAATCAAGCTGTTATTTTCTCTCTGTGTTTTATCAGTGAGACGTTAAGCTTCACTTAACACGGTTAACATCACTGATGTCACGACACTAATGACAAATACCCATTGGCCTTCAGCATACAGGAATGGCAGACATTGCCACACCGCCTCTGAATTATGTAAATATGCGCTAAATATTTGCTACACAAGCTTTGATTTGATTTGTGTATTAAATTGAGTTATTTTAACAATTTATGGAGAACTATTTCAGATGAAACAAGCATTGATGAGTATCAGGCTGAGATTTTTCTTTTGGCTATGGTTGTTTTTGGAGGAGAGGGGCAGGGCAGCATCTTTCCTAGTATAACTCCCAAGTGCCTGTGTCATAGTGGAGGTGCTTGTCTCTAAAAGAGGAATTGCACTGTAGCATCAACAGTCAATGGTTCTTTTATCTCTCTTTTTTTTTTTTTGGTCCAGCTTCATGTAATTTATTTTTGTTTGTCTGTGGTCATTGCTTTTTTTGCTAAAATTACACATTTTGCCTACTTCAGTGGCCTAGGTTTTTTTTGCTGCCATAGGGAGCTTGCCTTTCTTTTCGTGAATGTCACTGTCAACATAAAACTTGTTTAGCATATTGACGGGACATTTCATCCAACTCAAGTTTAAAATTGTGGCTTAAACCACTAGCACCATTCTCATGTGGCCAAGCGACCGACTGTACGTCGTGTCTTTTGTCAGTCCTGACAAATGAGATATCAGATTTGTTTGTTAGCAGTTTAAAAAAAAAAATATATATATATATATATATATATAAAACTTGAGGACTGATTCATGTTAAACATTCCCGGTTTCTGCGCAGTGTAGGTGTCTCTGTAAGCAATCGACGCATGTTTGTTTTGTGTGCCCTGCCTGAGTGCCCACTGGAAGTGACGACTTTGCCTTCAGTGTAGCATTCACTGTTGTCACTCCACATGCTCTGTCTCTTCACTCAGGGTAGGTTTGAGTCCATATAACAGCCTCGTCCGTCTTCATAGTCAATTTCTCAACATTTTCTTCCACTACTGATGCTGTATTGTATTGAATTCCTTGTTTCAAGCAAACTGTTTTCGGTTTTTCTTTTTTGGTCATTGAACATGTAACAAGTTTAGTTGGTTTAGCTTGACAAATCATCCACAGGCATGATGTAATGCTTTCCTTAAGGTTTTTAACCTTACTGTTGTTGTGGACACACTGTAAATGGAGCAGCTAAAGTGGCTTTTAAATAATCATTACATTTTCAGATGAAAAAGGAAAACGCAGAGAATTGGAATCTGGAACCAAAGATGTAGAATCCACATGTTATGTCTAGGTCGAGTAGCTGCCCTGAATTTCTCCCAGGTGGCCGTTCTTGGCCGAGCCTGGAGAAAGCCATCATTCCAAAACGGATCCTCTGTTTACTGTGGTGGTCTGTGTTCAATGTCCGATTTTTTTTATTTTTTTTTGTTCACTAGAGTTGGAAGTCTTTGTCCTTTCTTTTTAAGCTCTTCAAGGGAATAGACCACAAGACATGTCGAGTTTACTGTTGTTTTGCATGAACTTGTGTTAGAAATATGAAAAGAATAATCTCATACCAAACTAGAGATAAGGAACTCGAATGAAATTTACATTTATTCTGCATAATATTGCTTAACGGTTTCCATTTATGATGGGCAGGGCTATAAAGCATTTGCTGATATTCAAGCACAACATTAAGTCTGGACTATATACCTCTTGTTTTAGTGGTTAAGGTTTTTCATCTATACGGACTATGTGAGAATTTCTTGGGCTGTCACTAATGAAGCCTCCGATCACATATAACATTCTACCTGCTTTTAAAAGCGCTCATAGCCTTAAATGCACTTAAGATGCACTTAAGTATTTCATTGCATTCTGCATTTGCTGTGTGACTGAAATCTCACTGTGTGTACTGAAGTATCACTGACACATTCCTGTGAACATGGCTCATTTTTTCCACCGAAAGACGTGACGTTGTAACCGTTTTACTGGAAGCGAAGAACTGTTAATTCGTCTTAGTTAATTTTTTTTTAAAGCAACACATTGTTAGCATTTAAACATTTCATTGTTTTTCCTACACAAATTTAGCTGGTTACTGATTCTAATAGTAGCTTGGTGCAAATATAAGCAAAAACTTAAAGGACTAAGAAATTGAAGAACTAACAAGCTGCTCCTGAGATGCCTGAAGTACTTGAAAAAGCTTCCTAACTCAGAACCCATCTGTTTTCCTAAAGGAGACACACAATGGATAAAAGATCTAAGGGTGGCCACCAAAAGAAACAAGTTTACTTGGCTTCAGCTTCATTGATTTATTTCCCTCATTTGGGGATGATTGCAATTATATAACGAACAGCACATTTTGTATGTATTTCATTAGGACTAGGATGGAAGTTGACCGCTTTGTTCTGTATAATCCTTCTAATATGCACTTACCCCTGTAAGTAAGAAAATGTTGAGAAAATATTCTGGCTTCCAAAATTTTCTATACAGGAATTGAAAGACCTTTCTATTCACACAAATGACTGTGTGTGTGCTATACCGTAAAGTGAGTCTGATTGTATGGCTTTAACTTGATGCAGTATGTGGCCATGTGAAATCTTGCTTTTAATGCAAACAAGATAAGGAAATGTCTTTTTTTTTTTCAGTCCTGGCTTAAATAAAATACAAATCCAGACTACAACTATCTTGTGATAGTTTTTTGTTTGTCATGTCAATTCATTTCAGAAGATACACAGTATTACAGTACTGATTAAGACCTACAAATATTTAATGTTTTGTTTGCCATTACGTCTATTTGAGACTGATCATTCGAAACGGTTCAAGAGACGTCAGTTATCAGATGGTTCGGGAACCAAACCAGTAGGGGGCAGCGCTGTTCTCCCAATATCTATCTATTATTTGGTGTCAGATGTTTGATGAAAATGTGTACATGCAATGCAATTGGAAATGCAAAATTTCCTAAATATAATCTTAAGGCTAAACACATTTTATGTAAAAGTTCATAAAGTCATAGCCTATAAAAAACTTTTAAATGTAATATAAAATGTTACATGGACCTATATTTATAACTCTTTGTGTGTGTATAGGTATACTGTTACTGTTAGCGTATAATCTATAAACGACTTACTAGTCTTTACAAGCTGGTAGAAAGTATTTTTAACTTCAGAAAAAGTACCAACATTGCTGTCTAAAGGCTGCATACTAGGGTTTAAAAAACAGACACAATGTGGCAAGCTGATTTAACATTTATTTAACTAGCTAGTTTTTTGGTTGTTAAAGGCGTGCCTACTAATTTTTAATTAGTAGTAAGTAATCCTGTAACGACTACTGTCTTTTTCAATTAATTTTCGGCTATAAACAGGGAAGAGGGGTACAACCTAAGATTTTTTTCTAATTTCTCAGTTTGTGTAAATACATTTGGGTTTCAGTCTTATTTTTTCACATTAATTTCACGTGTCTAGTACTATTATGTGGTCTTGTTTCATTATTACAATGTATACTACTTTTCCTTATTTACCCAGAAATAATGGAAGTGAGATGTGTAACGACCTTATGGCAGCTTAAAATGTCACCTTATCTAATAAAAAATTGATACAAGTCTAATTAAAACGTCAACAAAATGCAATTGTTAACTTTCTCATATTACATTTTTTTTTAGTAATTAAAGCTAAACAAATTTTGGAGTTTGACAATGAATAGACTGCAAAACACAACTACAGCATAGCTCAAACAATGTAGGCAAACAGATGAAGACTCGCATTCAGACAATCAGAAAAACAGCTGAAGACAACACATCCCTCCCCTCCCTCCACACAGCTCTTAGTGTCTTCTGCTAGTTAGCTAAGCATTACATAAATATCTATGCTGCTAAATAACAGAATGGATATTAAAATAATAGCAGATATGTCTCATTTTAAATAAACACTAAAATCTTAGATTAATGAATTCAGTAAGATATTCACAATCGTTAAATGTTCAGCAATGCATTTCCAAACATTTTATTTTGGCATTCACCCCCCTCCCCCCTGTTTATAGTGTAGATAATGGCACAAGAAACAACACTAAGTTTTTTCATGCTAGCATGTGTGGAAACGTTTATGTGTGTTAGGCTACAACTAGCCCGCAGTTCCCTATTAGGCCTAGAAAGGCTGTAACACTTACCAGCAACAATTGGAACACAGTGGTGAACAGCGTGCCTGTAGAATTCAATGTCAAATGGTTCCAATAGAAGTTGGTTTTAAGGAATAAATGTTTAAACGGCTTGCCATAGCGACACATTAATCTAGCCTACTGTGTCGTCTCGCATTTGATGAATCTTATATTGCGATCTTCTCCTGCATAAGAGAAGACAGTAACTCAAAGCTTGACGTTATGAGTACAACTGTTTTGAGCTTTTGTTTCTCTGACATCAGCCGTAAAGACTTTACTTGAAAGCGTCTTTCCATGCAGGATTGTAGTTGGGGGCGGAGACTCGCAGCAACATTACATTCTGCATCCAGAAACTCTGAAATATGGACACTGCCATGAGAACAGTCGTGATCATTCGAGCTCGTTCAGCTCTATTCATTGCAGGATACAAGCACAACACAAATGCAGGAATGGGATTGGAGAGGTGGATGTAGTGTTTGGGCTCTGGATCTAGGTCATACAAACGGCTGGAGTTTACGGTGACCGTTTTGTAACGAGGGTTGGTCTTTGTTGAGACATTGTTTTTCTGCCTGGCAGTTTTCAGAGGACCAGCGGAACACTGTTTCAGACCCAAATCTGCTCTTGTATCTGGGAGGGAAGTGGAGACAACAGAGTTCAGCATGAGGAATAACGAGGATGCAGAGGGCTTTGATGGCGAGGCCTCCAACACCTCGATGATTTCAGGAGCCAATAGTCCGTATCAGCCGACCACCGAGCCCGTGCATTCCAGAAACGTGTTCAGGGCCATCAGGTGTGACCTGGACTATCTCAAATCACATTTCGGTATTTTAAAAGTTATCGAAGTGGTAAGTTCGAATAGTCACGGGGTTTCTCCTTTCCATGAAAAACTTATGAGCCTAGAAAGGTTTTCATTACTGAACTTCAGCAAGGTGTATTGCAACTGAATCAGTCAGTATGACTTCCCGTGAGCAATAATGACTTCATCAACAGAGCCATCGTTTATTGATCTTTCTTTCTTTCTTTCTTTCTTTCTTTCTTTCTTTCTTTCTTTCTTTCTTTCTTTCTTTCTTTCTTTCTTTCTTTCTTTCTTTCTTTCTTTCAGATAGCATTTTTTTATAGTTCCTCCCTGATTACATTCTTCTCATGTTAGACTTTGTTAGAGTAAGAAAGACAAATTTCCCATATGTTGGATTTTATTCAAGGTAAAATATTTAAGGCAAAGCAGATGTGTATCAAACAGTCATTATGATATAATCCCTTTTCTTCTCTCCACATATTTCAGTTAGATATTTAGGCTACTCCTGATAACATTCTTCTCATATTGGATTAGTGTGAGGAGGGCAGATTTCCTCTTTTTGGGGATTTAAAATAAAAATATTTCCTGTTGGATACATGCCGACAGGCATCAAAATCTCTGGAACGCATCGCTGACGGAGGGGAATGATGCCTGGAGTCTGAATGAATTAACTTTCAGATTGCACTTTTGGTCCACTTGATTGGCAAAACACCCAAAAATCTATAGTCATCGTGGTCAGACAAAACAGAAACTCGCATAAGAGCTTTCTGCCTGTGAACCTCTGCCAGATGTCGAGAGAGAGAGAGAGAGAGAGAGAGAGAGAGAGAGAGAGAGAGAGAGAGAGAGAGAGAGAGAGAGAGAGAGAGAGAGAGAGAGAGAGAGAGAGAGAGAGAGAGAGAAATGACTCTCTGTTCTGCTGGCTCAGCAAAAGCTAAGCATCTCAGATCAGGCCCTCATGGTGATGCACAGTTAAGAAACTGCATGCAGGGGGGAAAACAGAGTGAAACTAAGGAAGTCATTAGGTGAAACAAGGGCTTGTGTCCTCAGCCAAAGGAAACAACCTGTGTGCCAAGTACAGAAGATAGTACTGTCTGTTTAAAGATTGCTTAATGAATCAAGTTTTCTGCTTTTATGTGCGTCTCAAGGCTCAAATGACTCCACAGACAGATTTTAATCGGATTAAGTGATAATACTTGGAAGCACACGTACTAGCTGACATAGTGGGCATGTGGAGTACATGCACTTTTATCTTCATAAACATAATGAGTGGCTTTCTATGCTTTTTTATGTGAACCCAGAAGCTTCATTTGCCTGTGGAGTCAAATTACAGGCAGGCACGAGTTGTATAGTAAAGCTCTGGTTATTGCTGACTTAAAAACAGCTTCTTCAATCTGTTTGGACTCTTATGAGAAAGACTGCAACTGATCAGAGATTAGCAAAAATATCGACCGCATAGTCTACCATAGGGATCTAGGAACTACCTCTAGTAGTTTTTTTTAACATCCTGAGATGTTTGTTTTGTAATGCTCAGTGAAGGAGGCGTCTATAAGCTGTTTCTTTGCTCAGGTATGGTATGGTATGGGACGTTTTGTACTGCAGTAATAAACAGCTTAGTGAGAGGGAATTAATTAAAATAAAAGACTGAACTGAAAGCTAAACAGGATATGATTCAGAAAGTTCCCACAAAACTTGTAAATTGGAACATTCCAGTGATATCCCTTGGGGTGTTCTCTTTCATAGGTTCACTCAACGCTGCGTAGCTTAAGACGCAGTGGGAACGCCCTCTGGGTGTGCCGATTGTCTGAAGCCCTTATAGAATCACGGCAATTCATTGGCTGATGACGCTCTTGCGTCGTCATATTATATTAGCGCGCGCGCGCCATCTGCTTCTCAGATTCTCAGATTTCTCTGCCTTCACGAAACGGCCATCTTAAGCCCTTCGGTCTCGGTTTTTCTGGCCCAAATAATTCGGATTTATCATCAGCATTCTTCATCTGCACTTCAGCGACTGCGAATAGTGGAACTCAGTTCTCCTTGCGGTGAAGTGCCAAGGAGTTTCGTCGTTGCCCGCCGCCATGCGTTCGCTTTATTGCGAACGACGACCCTCACAGTAAGTGTGTTAAATGTATGGGTTTTTCGCATGCGCGCGAGGCTATTTTAGGCTTGTCTAAATGCAAGTTTTGTGACAATCTGCTTCTCAAAACCCTCCACTCTCGGCTCGCGTTTTTTGAGAAGGAGTCATTCGTTCCCCCCCGTCGCGCTCCCGAGGCTGCCGAGGCCTTGTTGGAATCCGCGACCTGGGGTTCGGATGTAGAGCTCGAGGATATAGAGTACGAGCAGACGGGCCAGGCCCTTTCTGTCCCTCCCTCTCCCGAGCACGCACGCGGTGTTCGGCCAGTCGAGTTTTCGCATGATTATTTATGCCCCAGCCCGAGAGCACGCGAGACGGTTTCTTTCGGGCTGGAAGATATTATTTACACTACAGCGTCCGACTCCGAGGATTTCAGGCCTGCTTTAGCTACTGACGGTCTCGCGCCTAGCGGCCAGGAGGCGCGGCCTACTGCGGCCTACACGGAGCTTATCGACGTGCTTTCGCCCGCTACAGAGAAGCTCTCTATTGACTGGCCCGACGAGCCCCGCGAGTCACAATCGTCTAAACTCGACGAGAGATTTTTAAGTGGCCCTAATTCTAGGCCTGAGCGGAGAAAGCTGCCCTTTTTCAGTGATCTGCATCACGAGATCTCCAGATCCTGGAAGTAGCCTTTTTCCGCGCGTCTAACAAACACGGCAGCCGCTGACTTCACCAAACTCGTTGGTTCTGTGGAGTAGGGCTATTCCGCCATTCCAGCGGTTGAGGACACGTTGGCTACTCACCTTTCTCCGTCGTCTGCTCCGTCATGGAAATCTCGCCCCCTCCTTCCCTCTAAACCGTGCAGGACTACTTCCGCCCTTATCGGAAAGTCCTACATGGCAGCTGGTCAGGCAGGCATGGCCCTACATACTATGGGCATCCTCCAAGCCTACCAGGCGGACGTCTTGAAGGAGATGGACGAGGGAACAGGAATTACGCCAGAAGCTGTCAAAGAGGTTCGTAAGGCGCACGGATCTGGCCTTAAGAGCCACCAAGCACACCGCACGTGCTATAGGTCGTTCTATGGTGGGGGCGATTGCTGCAGAGCGCCACCTATGGCTCAATCTCACGGAGATCCGTGACAAAGAGAAGGTTTTCCTCTTGGACGCCCCAGTTTCTCAATCTGGACTGTTTGGGGAGGCGGTCAACACTGTGGTTGACAAGTTTCGGGCCGCAAAATCCCAGTCAGCTGCCCTCAGGCAGTTTATGCCCAGGAGGGCCAGGGAATCCTCTAACCCCTCCCCGGCTCAACCCAGAGAACGTTCGTCTCATAGGCCGGATTTTGCCGCTAGGAGAAGTGACTCGGCTCATCCCCCACCTGCTACGGTTTGGGGAGCCCGCGGTCGCCCGTTTCCCCACCAGCGACCTCATAAAGCGGTCAGCCTCATGAAGCGGTCTAACAAACCCTTCGCTCCAGCCTCCTCGAATCGTTCCTGACCCGCAGGTCAGAAAAAGGAGAGCTTCCCCTGATTTACGAGGTTGGGACAGACCGCGCAAGCGTTTCTGCCCACCTCTCACTTGCTCTCCTTCTCTAAACCTGTCACTTTCGCCACCTAGCGTGTTTCGAAGTGCAGTTACTATTCAACCTCGTTCAAACCGTCTGGCGCAGGAGGACGGAGACGCGTTCAGCTTTCTCCCCTTGCCTCCGACGCGTTTGATACCTGCCGCTCGCATCCTCGGAGACACTTTAGGTTTTCCTCAGGAGCAGGCAGACCCTATGATCTTGATCAAACAGGCAGTGGTACCTCCCACTACGTGTCAGGACGTCAAGTGCTCTCCTTCATGTTGGACCACGCCACCCCACAGGAGTCAGCGGGTCACCCTAACACAGGTATATCCGCCGCATTGCAACACTCCACTTCCTCTATCTCATTTCTTTCAAGAATGGAGGCGTCTGCCAGGGGTATCGCCTTGGATCCTCCGCACGGTTCGGCTCGGCTACACACTTCAGTTCTGTCGCCCGCCCCCTTGCTTCAACGGAGTCTTTCCAACTGTAGTCAACAGCGCCTCAGAGGCTTCTGTACTATAGCAGGAGATTTTATCCGTTCTCCTCAAGGGAGCAATAGAAGAGGTTCCTCCGAAGGAAGTCGAGCAAGGCTTCTTCAGCCGTTACTTCTTGGTCCCGAAAAAGGGCGGAGGTCTGCGACCAATACTAGACCTGCGCCAGCTAAATTTCTCCCTTTACAAAGGGAAATTCAAGATGTTGACGCTGAAAACTATTATATCTCAAATTCGAGCAGGGGACTGGTTCGTGACAGTAGACCTGAAGGATGCATATTTTCATATTCAGGTCGTACGGCGACACAGGAGGTTCCTCAGGTTTGCCTTTGGAGAGAGGGCGTACCAGTACAGGGTCCTTCCCTTTGGTCTCGCTCTAGCACCGACAACGTTGATGGATTGTATGGATGCTGCTCTGGCCCCGTTGCGACTCCAGGGCATCCGTATACTCAAATACCTGGACGATTGGCTCCTTTTAGCCCACTCCAGGGAATTAGTGACTCACCACAGGGACATTGTCCTTCGTCACATTCAGTCTCTCGGCCTGAGGTTGAACACAGAGAAGAGTGTTCTTACCCCAACTCAAAGCACAGTTTTCTTAGGGGTGCGCCTGGATTCCGTTCTGATGCAGGCCCGTTTGGCTCCTGCCCGGATTTCCAGTCTTTTGACATGTTTGGCTCGCTTCACGCTCGGCCATCGTGTTTCTGTGCTTCTGGGTCTCGTGGCCGCAGCATCCCCTGTGCTTCTCCTAGGGTTGCTCCACATGAGACCGTTTCTGTGGTGGATGAAACTCTCAGGTGCCCGGTCCACAGGACCGGCTCTTCGCCTGTTGAAGGTGTCGCGCAGTTGCTTCCGCGCCCTTTCAATTTGGCGGGACCCTCTCTTCCTTCGGAAAGGGCTCGGCATGGGTGCAGTTTTCC